TTTATTTACCATCTACAATACAAAAAGCTTTAAGTTATATATGTATATATATATATATGAAAAGCTCCAGATTAGGGTAGGGTCTGACCTCATCTGCATCTCATGTTCCCATGGGCTTTATCAGATCCTAACTTACTGCCTCTACTCCCACCTAAACTTCTACAATGTTTGGCTGTTGAGTCCGACACAGAGTGATACGGAACACTACCTTTGCTTTTTGAGGCCATCTCCGTGTTCTTCTGCTGGTTAAAAGAGGAAGTTGTGTAACGGTCCATGTCAGCGAGGGGTGAATGCCTTGAAAAAGGAGATGATGACGAGGATGATGATGTGTCAGAATCCGGAGAGTTCCTCCAAACTCCTTCCGGATGATCACCAAAAAATTGGTCAGCAAAATCGTCAATGGAATCTCTGTGGCTGCTGTCTGTGCTGAAAGAACCACCTTCAGAGAATAGAGATGATGAGTTATCGCTGGAAGATGAGTCCTCGAGCATGGTTCTCTGATGATGATGATGGTGATATGTCCAAGGCCCTGTTTGGGCAGAAGAATTAAAGCATTCTCCACATCCCTGGCTGCTTGATGAGAAATCCCATGAGTTTTTATGAGAACTCGATTTACAGTTAAAATGTTTTGGTGCACGCGGATCTGAACTCCTTATCAACCTCGGGGCCCGTGGGGAGCACCTAATAAAGGATTACATGTTAGACATTATGCTCCCTCAGGTAGGGACTTAAACATAGAGGGGTAAAAGTATGTTACCTCGAGTAGAGAAGCATGTATGCTCCCTTTGTCAAAACACACTCTAGTTCCACAGGTTTTACCTACAACCATATGTATATATGTGTCCATAAGAGTCGACCGTGTAAATCACGAGAATGCAAATATGAAATGAACATAAATTCTTCTTGTTATCAAGGTTTGTTTGGGAACAACGTTTGAAAGTAGAATTAGCATTTTTTTGGATAAATCTTTAATGGTACAAATTAGCTTTTGGAAAGTATATATCTTTGATGTCAAAACATTCATTTTAGCCACAACTTTAGCATATTCCGCCATTGAAGGCATTACCAAATGGGCTACTAGGTTGATGATTCACTACATTTGATGTTTCCAATGCAATAACATACCGTGCTGTCGTCAACTTCGAACCACTTATTTTGATAATTCTTGACATAGCATACATAGTGACCAGAAAAGGCAGCATTCATGACATCCAAGTGTACAATTACTCCATAAAGCCGATAAATCGGTGATTTATCACTCGTACCACTCATGTATGATGCCAAATTCAGAATCTCGGGAAATGTGATCATTTTGTTCAGCTTCCCAAATCTACCTGTCTGGAAAAGAACAAAGAGTGATCAAGCAGCAAGGGCAACAAACTTAAAGCTGATTCAAGGTGTATAACTATTACCTGAAATCTCTTTAACACAATAGTAAGGACATTAGGGGCCTCTAAAATTTTTAACTTCTTCCGGGCCTTCTCATACGATTTGCATCTGATGAGACAATGCAATTCCAGTTAGTTGTATAATGCATGTCTACGAAACACATCGGTAAGTGGTAACACAAATTTGTTACACAGAAAGAACAGAGATTGGGAAGCATATTCAGGGCCAGTTTGATACAGGTAAATTTGGCTAGAATTGCTGAAATTGTGGCTGATATTGCTGAATTATATAGTTAATAATACAAAATAAAATTTGTTGAAAACAACAAAATAAAACAATAAGTATATGAAATTGGCTAAAATGGTCATATTCAACAGCATCAACCCAAAACACTGGCTGATAAATTAAATTAAACAGAAGCTACCAAACACCCACCCAAAGCCCCCCCCCCAAGATACATGTAACGATAAACTGAGAGTAATAAAGTAAAGTGTGTAAAGGTACAAAAGGAGGCAGGCATGTATGAAAGTAGTGAAACAGTTTGCTTAACAAAAGTAATGCAATAGAAGATACTGTGAGAAAGTAAAGTACCTGCTGCAGTGGTACTTGTTTTCACCATCTAGAACCTCAGTGTGTGTGAATTGTTTTAAAGCTCCTTCTAGTGTTCCAATATCTCCATCAATCTCAATTGTAAGGTCCATCATCCTTTCATGCTTCTCAGATTTGCCTCCACATCGCAAGCACTGAATCTGCAAAGTATATTATTGAATTATCACCGGGAGGGTTATATAAAGTTCTAAAAAAATCAATGTTAATGTGCCTAATTACCAAATGTTATAATAAACCCGCCTCAGTCCCATGCATGGGACCCACATGGGTTTATTACCACATACTGTAATGTGGGCACATTAAAGTGTGCTCTCATGTGTTTCTTTAATTTATTATTCCGTATTCTTTCTTTGGGGGTTATAGAGCTCTAACTTCTAGCATGCTTCTAGAAGAACATAACTTATTACCTTCGAACGGATGAAGCCCCCAAATGTGAGGTCAACCAGACAAGTTTTCTCTTCCGAAGTGTTCGGTGCACGGACACCTGCTTCCTTTAAGCAGATAGATTGCATCGTCTCTATGACATACCTATAATATAAACATGATTAAGCTAAGCAAGAGAGTTTTGAGGACAGTTTTGAGGTGCAAAATGAATGAATCTTGGGCGCTGAATAAGAGAACACACCTGAGAAATTCGTGAGCATCTTCTTCTCTGCCATTACCCAGACTGCTCCCAATATCCTCCAAATGGGATATTATCGAGATGGGGGAGAGTGGAGAATTCCCATCCTTTGCTTTTAGTACTAAAGTCTCAAATTCACATGTGAAACACCACTCTTTCTTTGCACCTAAACCGTGGACAGAGGAATAATTAGGTGTTACAATAATTTGAAAATAAGGCTGGATGAAAGAGTGAAAGTATACAATGAATATCCCAACTCACATCCTTTTGAATGGAATCCTTGAAGGAAATAAGCCGTAAAGGGTGGAGTGAATGCCAAACATTGCAGGACAGCATTCGCATAACAGCTGCAAAATATTAGAAGAAATAAAAAAAAATATTAAGCCTAACAAAGACAATTCACTACTTACCTACAATAGCATTAATAAAAGTTCTCTCTTCAGCAAGACGCTTGGATATTTAAAATACAAACACGTGGAAGTAACTAGCACCTCACATGCAATAAATTGGAATTATGATTAATTATGTATATGGTCAACCATGCATCAGTAATAGCTGCTGCCACTAAAAGCCAAGGCTTGAATCATATGTGAAGGCACACAAGCCAAAAACAAACAATCACTGATATAAATGTCCAAAAA